ATATATATATATATATATATATATATATATATATATATATATGTATGTTATGTATGTATGTATACATACATACATATACACAAAGTAACATACCGAGGATAAATCATTTTATTTTACAGTACTTCCTTAAAAATTTATTTCCGCCTATCAATGTCACCATGGCCCCAGACCGCCACTTTGAAATGGAATGTTATCTGTTTGGCCTGTAGTTTAGTATCATCATATTAAATAAATGTTAGATGGAGTGTTATGCTTTAATACCTAAAGTTCCTTCAAGTTTCAAAGTGGCTCAACGTCGGAATCACTGATGGGGTGTTATTAGGCTTTAATTCTAGTAGGCAGTATGTAATATGAGGACGACTGAATTTATAGGAATATTTTATCCGCCACATGGATGGTTGCACTCTGGAATCTGAAGAGGAGAAGGAAAAGGTTGTGAAGTGTCTTGAAGCTGCGATTCGGCGAAGGATAAGTGAGGTAAGGTAGATTATCCACTTCTCTAAATTATTGTCCTAAATGCTTCTCAAGATTATGATTAGCCTCGGTGCTGAGCCAAGCGGGCTACTTTCACCAAGTCCCCCAGCCCCACCCCCATTATGAATACTTTTTATCAAATAGGCAAAGGTCTCTAACTTAAAGTAACTCATAGTTAAAGTTTCACTTTAAGAAAGAATCGAGGACTATTCTATATATCAACTTTCATTCAGTATGAGTCCGTAATTGCCTGGAATAAATGAATCGGAAGAATAATCCAAAGCTGATTTTTCTTTTCTAAGCTTGGGTAGGTCCACGAACATGTGCAATCTTTTAGTTTGAGATTGGGATGAATGGGAAAGTTTGGCGGCAGGATGTGGTCCTCTAATATTATACTTTGGAAAATTGGGCATGGCTAATTTCTACTTCTTACTTGTCCTTTTTCATCAAATATTATCAGACTTTCAAGCATTCACATGTTAGTTCAATTTATAACACTATGGCATGCACGAACCTTCAACCTCAAATATTTAGTGCTACCAGGTCTTGATTCCTTTGATATGCAGGGTTTTAGTCTAGAGTTATGTGCCAAGGACCGAGTTGGCTTACTTTCTGAAGTTACGAGAGTCCTACGAGAAAATGGGCTATCAGTGACTAGAGCTGGTGTCACAACTATCGGGGAGAAAGCAAAGAATGTCTTCTACGTACGAGATGCATCTGGAAACCCTGTAGAGATGAAGACCATTGAAAGACTGCGTGAAGAAATTGGACAGACAATGATGCTTAATGTGAAGAAAGTCCCAACATCTGCAAAGGTACCTGAAACTGGTGGTTTGGCCAAGATAAGCTTTTTCTTCGGAGGCTTACTTGAAAGATTCCGTACTTAGAAATTCATCTACAAAGAGCTACCTACTTGTATAGAAGAATAAAGCACTTGAGTGAAAAAGTGTATAAATGTGGTAAGGTATCCCTGTTAAAATGCATGTAGATACATTGAGAAGTTACCTTGTCAAGAAGATAAACAAAGGGAAAAAGGAATGGGTCTCTCCCATTCTTATTCTATGCAGAACTCTGGAAGATTATCAGATGACTGTGTGTTGTTCCTGCCAAATAAAAGTACGAAAATCTATTGCTGTCATATGACTTTGGGTTGGAGCTTTGGTTAAGAAATGCTATTGAAGAATTGAACAAAGAAAGCCAATCGGTTATAGTTTAATTGACGTCTATGTTGCGTCCAAGCTAATGTTAGAGACAAAGAGCTGTTAACATTGTTTTGATTAGCCTTTTGTAATATCCTGACCAGAACATACCGTAGATATCATCAATTAGCGTGTAACTGGAAATAGTGTCACAATAAATATGCTCTTTTGATACTGGATTGTCTCACTTAAAATATTCCTGGATATTTTACTTTCTTCGACTTCATAGGAACTGGGATGTAAAAATTAGTCCACAAAATACTCACTGTTGAATTATAGAAATAGTTAACATAATAACAATAGTAACAACATACTCAGTGTATTTTCACAAGTGGGGTCTGGGAGGGTAATATGTATGCCGACGTTACCCCTATCTTGTGAAGGTAGAGGGGCTTTTTTCGGTAGACTCTTGGCTCAATAAAAGCAAAATCATAGCAGTTATGACAAAGAATTGTGAAAAAGAAATAGTAACAATAGCCAGAAAAAAATAAAATCGAAGCAAAGGAAATATCATGTACTAATAGCGATCTAAAAATAGGGAATACGAGGATAACACTAGTACTACAGCTATAAAAAAAAAGTACCGACTACTTATTAAAATCTACTACCCTAATCCTCGACCTTCACACCCTGCTATCAAGGATCATATCCTCCGTAAGCTGAAGATGTGACATGTCCTGTCTGATCATCTCTCCCTAATACTTTTTCGGCCTACCTCTACCTCTCCTAGGACCCGCTATAGCCAACCTCTCACACCTTCTCACTAGGGCATATGTGTCTCTCCTCTTCACGCGCCCGAACTATCTCAGTCTCGCTTCTCGCATCTTGTCCACCACACATGCCACTCTCACTTTATCCCAAATATCTTCATTCTTAATCCTATCTCTCTTAGGATGCTCGCACATCCATCTCAACATCTTCATTTTCGCAACTTTTAACTTCTGAACATGAGAGGTCTTGACTGGCCAACACTCTGCTATATATAACATGGTCGGTCTAACCACTACTCTGTAAAACTTGCCTTTAAGTCTTGGTGGCACATTCTTGTCGCACAAGACGTTGGATGCGAGCCTCTCTTGGGTATGATTTGTATGTCCAACTTCACTTCAATGTCAGCCTTCCGATTGTCACGACCCCAATTTCCCCATCTTAGGATGCCGTGATGGCACCTAGTATCTAAAACTAGGTAAGCCTAACAGATGCTGATTATTACCAAACTTTAGCTATTTAACTGCAATTCATTAGATAATAACTGATACCACATGGCTGAGCCAACGTCGATCATAAAATCCCAAGACCGGTAGTACAAGTCATAAGCTTTTTTAAGGGTCATTAGAAATAACAACACATCACTGTCCCAGAATAATAGGAAATAATGGAAATAAAATACAACGGTACGTGACTCGGAGCCTGCGAACGTCAAGCAGGTATACCTTGAAGTCTCCAGCTGTGCAGACATAAGTCTCAAATCAACTCGATCGTAAGTACCTGGATATGCACAAAAATATGCAGAAGCGTAACATGAGTACACCACAGCGGTACCAATAAGTATCAAGCCTAACCTCGGTAGAGTAGTGACGAGACTAGGTCAAGATACCTACTAGACGTGTAAACGTGTGCGGGATATAACTTAAAGCTAACAATGGAAAGAATATCAATGTAAGACCAAAAGCATAAGGATCACAAATTTACAACCAACAATGAAAATAATAGAAGCACGAATAGCAACAAGAAGTGAACGAGTAATAAAGAAACGGATGACAACTCAATTAGTCAAATCGTTTCTAATGCACAATTTACAACAAGAATTACTCGAGGTACTACTCCTCGTAATCTCAAATCATAAGTCACAACTCTCAAATCTTACACGTATAACACCTCGTGCCCATATTTTTCCAAATAATTTTCGCACGGCAAAACCCACGTGCTACTATGTACATTGTATCCATGTAAAATGCTAATTAAAATGTCCAAGAGATTTATTTATATACGATAAGGCATAATAACAAGGTTGAATAAAGTAGGGAATCAAATGAGAAAATGAGTATATTTAAGAAATTATTTGGACGAAGAAAATAACATTTTCAAATAAAATAAAGTATCGGATAAGCTACAGAATTAAATATAGAATTTGTTAAATTAAAACATAATAACGATTTTTAAGTAAAGTAAAAATATCAGACAGAGTAAGAACTTTAAGTTGAGAAATCAATTAAATTGAAATATGACAACTATTAAGAATAGTAAAGTACCGAATGAAACGACGAGTTTAACTTAAGAGTCACATAAGGCAAGGATGTAAGTAATTATTTTATTTAAAATTGTTATGTTACCAACAACTCAGCATGGTATGAGATAATGACTCTGCGCAGTAAATTCATCTTGAAAATTAATTCACCAAGTAACCACAGAAGCACAAATTGACACCTTGAAGTAATACAACAGTTCACGTAGGATGCATGACTCAGATAAAACATAACAACAACAACAAATATAACACACACAATCCGTTGCGGTGCGCAACCCGAACCCACCATATCATCATTTATCAATATCACAATTCTCCCTTATTTCACCCGTTGCGGCGTGCAACCCGATCCACAAGCAATTTAAATTAACAACAACAATTCAATAACTCAATTTACAAGAATTTCTACAATCAAAGGGTATGAGTACACGACAATAAAGGAACCACGTAATAATCAAAGGAATGCAACAAAATATTACAAAAATAAGAGGATAACTGAAGCACGTGACAACTAAAGTGTGCAAGTACAAACAGTTAAGGCAAGTAGCAGATAAGCACAACGTCATGGAAGAGACTCAACAATTAAGAGTAACAAGACAATAAGTTCAATTAAAGCATATAAGGGCAAAATAACAAGTAAGAGGTATAATAAGTGCTAACAACGTCAAATAGAGCATGTAAGAGTAGATTAACAATGGGAGATATAACACGTTATGACAATTTAATTAAAGGCATGGAAAGAGTCTAGATAACCTACACCGGTTAAATACCACATATAGCCCATGTACCCACTCATCACCTTGCGTACATGGCTTTCACATAATACAAATAGCACAATTAACCCGAATCCTAAGGGATAATTTTTCCCACACAAAGTTAGACAAGATACTTACCTCAACTTAGCCAAATCAATACTCAAATTAGCATCTTCTTTACAATTCACCTCCGCTCGGCTCAATCTAGCCAAAGATGAATGAAATACATCAAATAATGCAAGAGAAAATAATTTCAATTAACAAAGTTATGATCTTTATACAATTTTTAAAAGGTCAACAAAAGTCAACCCCGGGCTCGCCCGGTCAAAACCCGGGTCCAAGGGTAGGTCTTGACTACCCATAACCTCATGAGTCCATATATATATTTTGTTTCCAAATCCGAGTCCAATTCGACTCTCAAATCTCAAATTTTTATTTTTCAAAGCTTTTACAAAAATTCCCAAATTTCATCTTAGATTCTCAAAAATTTGATGTTAAATCTAATATATAATCATGAAATATAATTAAAAATTGATTTAAATTACTTACCTAATAGTTTGGTATGAAAATCTCTCCACAAAATCGCCTCATATTGAGTCTAGAGTTTAAAATATGATAAAATGAAGCCAAGTCTCGGAATACTAAGCTATAAACGAGTTGCAGAAGTCGTATTTACGACTATTTGCGAACCCTCACAAAAGCGAACATTACTTTGCAAAAGCGAAGCTTGAACAGCTCTGCTCCTATCGCAAATGCGATACAACAGGTCGCAAATGTGAAGACGGGGCATTTGCAAAAGCGGCCCAAATGTTAGCAAAAGCAAACTACCAGCTGCCCAGCTCACCATCGCATTTGCGAGGCTGGCTTCGCAAATGTGAAGCCTGCCAGTCCCCAGTCTCTTCGCAAAAGCGATCACAAGTCCACAAAAGCAGCAGTCACAAATGCGACCCTCAACTCGCAAATGCGAGATCAGAACACCAGCAAATCTGAACCTTCTTCCAAACAATCCGAAACGTGTGCGAAACTCATCCGAACCCTCGGGGCTCCAAACTAAACACCCACACAAGTTTAAATATATAACACAAACTCGCTCGCGCGATCAAAATACTAAAATAACGTCTAGAATCATGAATCGGTCGTCAAAACATATGAAAATCACAATGAACTTTAAGAACTTCTAGAATTGCAACCAAGTGTCCGAACTACATCAAATCAACTCCAAATGATACCAAATTTTGCATGCAAGTTCCAAATGACGAAACAAACCTATTCTAAGTCCCGAAACCAAAATCCGAATCCGGTAGCCTTAAAGTCAAACCATGGTCAAATTAAGAAAATTTCAAACCTTTAAATTGCTAACTTCCGCCAAATGATGTTGAAACCCTCTAGAAACATCCAAATATAAATTCGGGCAACACCTAGGTCCAAAATCACCATCCGGACCTACCAGAACCATCAAATCTCCGACCCGAGGTCAAATACTCAAAAAGTCAAACTTGATCAATTGTTTCAACTTCAAGCTTCTCAAGTGGGAGTCCTCCTTCAAATCAATTCCGGATCATTCAAAAACCAAAGCCGACAATGCACGCAAGTCATAATACACTATGTGAAGCTACTCATGACTTCAAATTGCTGAACCAGACGCAATTACTCAAAACGACGAGCCGGGTCATTACATCGACTCAAGTCAGAATTTTATTTTAGTCTTGCTCAACTTGAAACCTATAATAACAATAGTAATATTACTAGTTTCTCGGCATGGCGTTGCACGTGTATGCCGAGTTTTGTAGTATACGATATTGTAAATAATATCAATGTTACTAAAACACAGGTTTGAATATATAGTATTATACATGAAAAAATAAAGTACAAATTTATGTAAATGATCAATGTGGATTTTTATATGGTCTTATTCGTCCCGGTCAAAATGATTGGATATCGTCTGAACTTATAAAGTCGATGAACAACTAAATTTAAATCAGGAGAGAGAGAGCGATATTGATTTATTTTTCATTATGTATATTGTTGTATGTAGATATTGTTAATATTGTGTTGGACGTGCAACACACGTGCATAAGAACTAATATTATTTAATTGGTTTACTTGATAACATTAGAAAAGATATTCTATAATATTAATGTTAGAATACTTAATATATAGTTAAGAATCCTAGAACTATACTCTTAGTGCCATTCGAGGCGCCATTACGGTTAATCCAATGAAGAATTACTTTGTTTTAATTTGTTTTTGATTAGTATAATGTAAATCAGGGGTATCTTAGTCTTTTGAATTATTTATTCACTATAAAAATCATTGTTACATGTCAGTCGATCCTTTTACCCATTCTTTTAGGTACTGAACGGAAATTATTTTTATTTTTGTTATAGGAAGAAGTCACTAGGTTGTTAGCTAACTTTACGCTCATTTTGTTATTTTTCTGTCACTTCTTAAGCATACATAAATAATACTTTTTTTTTAATAAATCAGAGATGTCCGAAACACATTTACTTCTGTGTCTTTTGTGATCTACATATTCTTTACTCTCTGTTTTCTTCTTTATTAAAGTCAGTACTGCCCTCTCTTTTCTCATATTTGTTTTTTCTCTATACAAATAACTACTAATTTTTCTTCATCTGCATATAAGGTCAGATTACCAGTTCTTGATTCGTCTGTTGTTTTTAAGCTTTTACTTCTTTAACAGTTTCAGGATTTTCTTCCTTGTGAGTGTGTAAATTGCTTATGGTTTTGCATTCGCTTTTCTCCTTTCTCTAGCCTTCTTTATTTCTTTTTGTTTTATTTCCTTTAACGTGAATTGTAATAATTGCGAATTTCGTTTCACAATTGTTCAGTATAATGAAAGATTGACGGTAAAGAATCAATAGATTTAAGAGGGATTTCCTTTAGTTAGGAATGAAGAAAAGTTAAAAAGAAAGAGGTATGTTAAAAAGGCAAATGGCTGTCTCTGTTATATTACAAATTTGAGGATAGTTCTTGAGATTACTCCTTATCTAATTTGTCATATCACATGTCTAATGGTTTCTTTCATTTATTTACGAGTTTTTCCAAAATATATATATTTCATATAATAGAAATACTTTGAAATGGCTGTTTAAGATAATAGTAGAATGAGTACATCTATATATGCTCCAGCTTTTGACCTTTGCCATGTTTAGGTAATTAAGCGTCGTTCCTAACCAGGATGTTTTGCATATATTACAGGAAATAATTTGAGCAGAATGACAACCAATACCGTGAGCTACTCACAAAAGGAACTTGTTACTGATCATGTTTTATTGAGGTTACCTGTTAAGTCACTCTTTCGATTCAAATGTGTGCGCAAAAGTTGGCATGATCTTATCAAAAGCTCAAGTTTTATTAAAAAACACTTCAATAGTGAGAGTAATCGTCTTCGCCTTATGGTTTGCAAGTTCGGTGTTAACTACAAAAAAGATCCAGGTGAAAGGTCTTTCGATATGTTCTTACTCAATGAGAATATTCGCAGGATGTGTCCCTACAAACCAGAGGATTTATCGTTGCGAAGATGTTGGTGATTTTAGATGTATTTATGGTCCAATTAATGGTATATTCTTGTTGGAAAAAGGTCATTATATAGATAACGTTCGGTTTGCTTGGTGGAATCCTGCAACCAAAGAGTGCAGGCTTATACCTCGTATACATTTTGAGGTACAACAATATTTTGAAGACAATAATCGTAGACTTGGGATAGGTATAGACTTAGTGAATCAAGATTACAAAGTAATATGGCATCGAACATTTTGGGATGATATGACAAGTGATGTTTATCCTAAGGTATATGCTGCTGTCTATTCGACAAACAACGATTCCTGGAAATTCTTGGAACCTGATTACTCTCACTTATGTCAAATATGTATATCCCAAAATTGTACTTATATGAATGGAGTTTATTATTGGATTACCACAAGCCAGAGATTTTGCAACAAAGACAATGTGTACTTTATTCGGACATTTGATTTTGCAACTGAATTGTTCGGGGAAATGACAGGACCACCAATTCCAGGCGAACACTGGGCGTCTCTAATGTTACGCGGTGGTTCTCTTGCAGCTATGTCTTGTGATGATGTTACTCAGGCTATGACAGCCAATTATGGTATATGGGTAAGGATTAGAGAGAATAATTGGATTAAAGTTTATACTGTTAATCCTCCTATACCTTCGCATTTCCCTATTGGAATATGGGAGTATGATAAGTTCATTTATGAACTTACACAAACTTGCAGATTGTTGTTTTATGACCAGACAGTTAAAGAAGTTACAAGTCTTGGATTTCATTTCTATGATTTAAGTTGTGGCTCCAATTGGGCTATTAGTTACAAGGAGAGCCTAGTTCCAATAAAGAATGAAAAGTCTACTGAGAAGGATAATGCTGAATACTTCCTCACCAAGTATTAAAACAAGCATGAGATGTGAGTATCAGGCCGAAAAGGTCAAATTTTTAATGATTTCGTCACATGTGATTGAGTTGCGAAAGCTTGTAGATAGATATTCAACATCTGAACCAAATTCTTTTTGGTTAAATAATACTTCTAGTTACTCTTAAACAATTGGGAGATTCTCTAAAAGATAAGAAAATGCTATGTTTCCGGGGATGATATATGCCCGGGCTCCCGCTTTAGAGTCAACTCAATACCTCGTAAAGGGAAAAATATGAAGATGACATTGTAAATGTAGAGATCAAATATCTATTTTCAACATGTGCATATATATGTTTTTCTCCCCCCCTACTTTTTAGTGCTATTTTCCTTTCTCAGGAAAACAAATTGAGAGTTTCACTTTCTCTGATCCAAACAATCAGGTGCCTTGTTCACCGGGAAATATACAACAACAACAGACCCAATCTAATTTCACAAGTTCTTGATATTTTTATAGTTCTATTTTTCCTGATGAAATATGAATTTTCAAACGAATAACATTGTTGATATACCATATCCTCTTGATAATTCGAAGCACTTTTAGTAAGCTCAAATGAGAATGGAAAGGAGAATTTCCTAAAACTCGAATCCATGCATAAATTTATTAGCATGTACGATACTAAAGTTCCTAAAATCTCAATCGCATCTTCTTTTCAATAAGTGAATCATATATAAATCAGCTCAAGTCACAACAATAATGAGTAAAACCGATGCTTATTTTACAAATCTTTTAGTAAAAAAACATTAAAGAGAGATACTTTAATTTAGAGGATGAGAGACTGAGAACTCATTAGAATNGGGGAGGGGAATAGGTGAAAGTACAAGGGTTAATTGTAGCCTATTTTAAAACTTAGTTGACTAAGAGAGGAATTAGTCGACTAAACTTTACAGTGGGATCAATCGCAGCAGGATTAAATTGCGCAGACAGAAAAGTAAAGGAGGCACAACAGTTTTTATACTGGTTCAGTACCGGTGTGGTACCTACGTCCAGTTCCCTTAGGTCACAAGGGTTCTCTTAGATCTTCAGTAAGTCTTTACAACAATGATGATTTAGTATGTTCACCACCAATGACATACACCAACAATGTTTTTTCTAGTGTTGACACAAATATTGTTTTGTTTTCTAACTCTTCCTATCTTTTGCGACACTTGTAAACTCAAGAATACAACATTTGTACTAAGAACTAGAAAGGTGTAGAAACAGATGTGAAGTTGCGTAATCTTCCTTGTCCTTCTACTTCTTCTTTTATATTGCTCGATGAGTTTTCTGATTTCTCTTTTCTGGGATCGCACAACAACAATGATTAGAGGTCTTTCCTTATGAGGCATAGATTTCTAAGAGTGAGACCCAAGGGTAGCCTCATGATCTAGCATCAGAGGTACAGCCAGATTCATTTTCAGTTTGAAGATTTGGTTCCTCCAATTATCTTTTATTAGAGCTTCCGCAGATTGTCCTTTGATTTGCTCTCTATCCTTGATTGGCTCTCTTTCCTTTATTGCACGCTTGAGAATCTTTAGCAAGTCTGATTGATGGACATTTCTTCCTTGTTCTTTGGTTGATTGATTCTCTTTCCATTTGATACAGAGTTCGAAGAATATAGCTGTTGGCTTCCTCTGATTTCCTCGTATGATTTTCTTTCCTTTCATTCATTAGAATTGTTGCGAATCTACACACAAAGTGAGATGACATTAGTCAAGGCTCTTTTGATTATTGATCATTATTAAAATTCTAAACCTAACAATCTCCCCCTTTTTGATGATGACAATAATCGAAAAAGAGTTCGATTAATTTAGGGGATACTTCCCTTTACGAGTGTACTTCTGCCCCCTGGTTTTGTGCTCCTTGTTTGTTTGCATGCTCTCCCTGTCTTTGTACTCTATTTCTTCTCCACCTTTGACATCAATCAAAAAGAGCAAGAAGAGAATAATAGCTAATAATAATACTAGTTAAGCGGGCAAAAATATATACAACTAGCAATTATACTAGGCATAATTGACTACATGCCCATCATGAGACAGCAAAAAGAAAAGTTTTAACAACTAATAAAAAAAAGACTGTTTAAATAGCCCAAACACTTAATTCCTTCCAAGGAAATACTTCAAAGTGTTGATCATTTGGTGCAGAAACTACCATAGGAGGCACCAATCTCCTTGGTGACTTTGGTCAACTTCTCAGTGATATCCTCCCTGATCCTTTACCTCTTTGTGGCTGGAGAGTGATCCTTAACCTGGCCACATCTGCTCCAATTTCCTTAGTTACTTCCCTGATCTTATCCACCTGTTCCTGCATAGAGGTTAGCAGTTTCTTGATACCTGTAGTATTTTGCTTCATTAGTAGAAATAGATCTGAGGAAGAGGATTTGGTAGCTTCATATTTAATCCCTCCAGTGCCCTATTGAGGAGTGGATTTTGGTGCTTTGTCTTTCTTGAACCAGGTTCCTTCAACCAAGGTGTAACCCATCATGGCAAAAGAGTCTTGTCATATGCACTGGAGATGGTTTTAGGGGCATAAGGAGACAAATCTACTTTCATAACTTGAAAGATGTGAGAGATTAGTAAATCATAAAGCAAACTGTTAGGAGAAGATAAGACATCCTTGATGCTTTCAAGTATGTACTAACGCACCTAAGGCTGTCCAATGGGACGGGACAGGACTAAATAAACGGGACGGAACGGGACGGAATGGGACGGGACGGGACGAGACGATATTTAGCCGGGACGGTGGCGGGATGGGATAAACGGGACAAAACGATAGACCCATCTCATCCCGTTAACAAATGGGATGGGACGGGACGGTTCGCGGGCCTTAAGTGGGCCATTTTTTTTTAATTATTTAAGCATTAAGTTTGGCAACAACTAGTTTTTTGACAATGACTAAGTTTTTAAAGTTTGCAACAGCTAGTTTTTGACTTATTAAAACTTAATAAATTATAAAAAAAATTAGAAAACTAAGTAAAGAATTATAAAATATTAAAGCAGAAGACTTGTAATGAAATATTTTAGTAATTATAATTAGACTTGTAATTTATTTAATATAATTTCAAGCTATTAAGTAACTAAGTAAGAGTGTAAGATAATTCATAAAAAATAATTCAAGGCTTAGAGCCTTTTATTTTATTAATAGAACTTTCAAATTTTACATACAAATATAATTCTTTTGAAGAGCACCTAGTCTACGCAGCCACATTCTATGAAGGGTTCTGTTTGAACTAGGCCTCTTAGTAGCCAATTACAAATTATCATACTAATATTTGTAAGCTCCTATATAGCTTTGTTGTAACTTATCTATAATTTCTCTCGGACATTGTTCTGGAATTGGCAATGTTGATTCATGTTCCATGAGTTCCATGCCGCCATCGCTCCCAGTGCTAAGCATATCATTGTATTCTTCTTCTTTCCTAGTGTTTAAGTTTTCTAAACCAAGATTTTTTCTTTCTGAATTAATCCAATCTCTGAATAATACGGAAATCTCTAGGTTGTCCTCCACTAATGAATGTCTATGATCTCCGATTTGAAATCTTGCCGCGCTAAAAGCACTCTCCGATGCTAATGATGATTCTTGAATAGCTAGGATATCTCAGGCCATTATTAAAAGTGTTGGAAAATCCTTGCCACACTCCCTCCACCATGCCAAAAGTTGTTCGTTGCCTTCTTCGTCTTCAATACTTTCCAATCCTTGATTAAGATAAGAATCAACTTCATCATCAATAGAGGAATCAAAACCTGTTATATCTTTCCCATAGAACTTCTACTCTAGCCTTAGAAGTAGAAGGAGCAGTTTCACCACCTGTTGTTTTCATAGATTTATATTTATCAAATATTGATCTAGCATAAGAATATATGTTAGCTTGGCAGTCTTCGAGAGATGGTTGTTCATTTTTTTGAATTGCTAAATTCTCATAAATTTTACGAACAAGTCCCTTTGCACCTCTTAATTTTAAAGATGTGTTAAGTAGAGTAGAAATTAAATAAACTTGAGGAATTGGGATAAAATACTTTTTAAATTTTGTAATTATTTCATTAATGGTCGGTGTATAAGTTGAATTTGTTTTATACTTACCAAATACAACAGAAATTCCACAAATATACCATAATATTTGTGTAACATTAGGATAATATATACCGGAAAATCGTTTTGTAGCATAATAAAATTTTTCTAAAAATTTAGTAAGCTCATTGATCTCATCCCAATCAGAAACAACAATTTGATCAGCGGGGATACCATTATGCATATTAAATACCTTTTGTATAGGCACCCAATAATCATAAGCAACTTTAAGCATTTCGTAAGTAGAATTCCACCTAGTACAAACATCTTTTGGAACTTTTCTATATGGAATGTTAGCACTAGCACATTGTCGAGCAAATTCACGAAGTCTACTCGCTTTATTAGCACGAAAAATATAGCCGCAAGAATGTTGTACTTTACTACAAGCATCAGCAAATAAATTAATACCATCTTTTACAACCAAGTTAAAAAATATGGCATGCACATCTAACATAAAAAATATCTTGATTAATTAGACAAAGTCTAGTTTTTAAGCTAGTTGTTGCGGTTGTGTTAGCAGAAGCATTATCTAAGGTGATAGTTAAGACTTTATCAATGAGTCCATAAAAATCAACTATTTGTAGAACAGTAGTTGCAATATATGCTCAGTGTGTTTTGAATCAACAAATTTATAACCAATAATATGTTTTTGCATATTCCAGTGATGATCAACCCGATGATATATAACAGTTAAATAATCACAACAATTAGGACTACGACCTATATCAGATGTGATAGACACTTTACAATCTAAGTTAAAAAATACACAACGAATATACTGAAGATATTCGATTTGAAATTTAAAAACATTATTTCTAACTGTGGTCTTAGGAAAACCTTGAAAAGCAGGATTATAAGTTTCTTGTATATAATGTACAAAAGTAGGGTGAGAAGGAAAAGTAAAAGGTAAGCCACAAACAGCCACCATTGTTGTTAAGTTCTCACGATCTCTATTTTTTTTTATAGGGGCGTAAAATAGTACCAGAAGTAGGGTCAAGCTGTTGTTGTAAAAAGTTAGAACCCCCGTCATATCAACTAGGAGCGCTAGTACCAGTGTTAGGATCCGTAATTTTTCCAGCTTCTATTTGAGCTTGCATCCATAAAGATTTGTGCTCCTTAAGTAAGTGCCTTGCTAAATGTAACGACCCGACCAGTCGTTTTGAATAT